CCGGCGCGTTAACCAAACAAACCCCGCAATTTGAAACATGGCAACCGCCGCGACTCCGTGTCGGCCAAACCAACTCCCGTTGGCGACAGCAGCGTGCGGCCGATTGGCAATTAAACCCAGGTGGCCAGGGCGGCCTGCCGACGAGCGGCAAGCGGGCTGTGCCGGACACGGTTTTTTGAGCGGAGAGCGACATGAAAAATCAAGAAAAAAAGAAGCACGGGGAGGAAAATTAAATGAAATAAAAAAAAATGATCGTCATGAGATGTGGATGAGTGATAGCAGCAGTTGCCCTCGGGATTAATTAGCTTGCAAGTGTCGTTCGCTCGTCTTAACATGCGGCAGAAATGCCGACGACAACCACAAACAGCGGAACCCTGACGAATGTGCAACTTTGCTACAACTGCAGCATGCGAAAATTAAATCGAGGTCGCCGAGTGATTCGGTGGCAACAGCGCTGAGCTGGCACCACTGAGAACTCGAGTTAGACGTGGTGCTTTATCGGCTGCCCGTGATTAAACTGGGTTCTCGAGTGCAGCGAGTTGATGGCCTCAGCCCAGTCACCACCGACTTCACCCAAAAATCACCCGCGATAATACATTGGGTTTCCCACTTAATTTGGCAAAAATGATAGCTCTAGCAGGCTCAGTGCGATAATACCATCCTGAGTGTGGATAAGTGGTCACATGCAGAGATTTCAGAAACGGTACTGTAATGTCTCCTTCTGTGGACCGCTCTCCGACACAAAGTGTCGCACTGCTGTGCAAGGGTTCCGAACGGATTCTTCCTCTCGTGACATGGCGCCAATACATAAAAATGATAGATGCAGGTCTAATAATAATACAAAAAACCTCCACGACTAACAAAGAATAGCAATTGTTGTGCATCATCAATAACAATAAAGGTGGGGTGGGACTGGCTTTTGCATCCAGCTACTCTCAGCAGTAGAAGCAGCTACGGTCCATCAAGCACACGGAGCAAGCCCAGCAATTACTGCTGGAGCAGCACATTAATGAGCACACCTCCTATTACGCTTTGTGTACAGTGACGGCACGCCGATGCAATTGGCACGCGAACCACGCGTTCCATTTACATGCGGGCTCCTGAGCTCTTCCAATTATTATATATATTAAAAACAAAACACGAAACAATCTGCGATGTAATTTAACCGGCGCATCACGTTCGCTTGTTTATTTACTCTTGTTTATTCCTGTACTTACATTTGGTTTGAAGGGGATAAAAAAAAATTGAACGTACAGGGAAGAAATAGAATAACAATTCAGTTCACTGGCCTTCTGGACCAAGATTTTCATCAGGATTTGCTTAAGCAGGCACATTTCCAGACTGGTTTCGACTTTCATGGTCTTGTCAGTTGTCAATCCTGTTAAACGAGTGCCTCGAGGTTGATGGATGTCACAGCAAAGCGCATTTTACAAAAACGGTGGGCCCAATTGGCACCAAATAGTAAAACCGTAAAAAAACGGATTGAGTGCTGTGGTGGGGTTTCTCATGGATAATGATGAACTACATCCGAGGGAGGGAATATGCACCTGAGAGGACGACCACCGTGGGCAAATAAAATCACCTTGTTTACTGGTGCTATGCGGTTTGTTACACCGCAGGACTATGCAAGACGGCTATGGGTTGGAGAGACTATCCAGCAGTGGACAGATCATGACCGATGATGACCACGATAGAACAAAAATAAATTTTCCGTGTACCTGTCCGCCCCATCGCAGCTTCACGGAGATGGCGCACGCCGGGGCTCTGGCGACGCTGGCACTGCTGTGCTGGGCGTCGAGCGGCGCACGCGCTGCCGACGGTGGCGGTGCGGCGAGCCGCGAGGGGCTCGCCGCGGCAGCACCGGTGGCGACTTTCACCACCACCACCACCACTACCACCACGACGACGGTGTCCGCGCCTCAACCCCGCGGCTCCGCGTTCTCTGCCGCGCGCACCAGCAGCATGATCGGCGGGCCCAAGATGGCGGTAGCCTTCGACCGCGTCTACGTGAACATCGGCGGGGACTTCGACGCGGCGAGCGGCGTGTTTGCGTGCCGCGTGCCGGGCGCCTATTACTTCTCTTACACCGTGGGCAAGTACCCACGCAAGCCGCTCTCCGTCATGCTCATGAAGAACCGCAACGAAGTGCAGGTCATTGCCTACGACGAGCACCGGCGGCGCGAGCGTAAGGTGCAGAGCCAGAGCGTCATGCTGCAGCTGTCGGTCGGCGACACCGTGTGGCTGCGGCTGCACGGTGACCCCAAGTACGCGCTCTACAGCAGCGCAGGGCCCTACACCACCTTTTCCGGGTACCTCGTCTACCCCGACCTGCCGCTCAGCGACGCTCGGCCCGCCGAACCGGAACGGGAGGCCAACGACGCGCCGGCTGGCGGCGACGAGCAACGATCCAGCAATGACATCGCGGCGGAAGAAGAGCCGCCGGCCGCGGATGCAAAGCCGCGCGGCGGCGCTCCGTCGCGTCGGTCCTTGGCGGCGGTGGCAGTCGACCGTGAGGCCCGGTCTGCGTTCTCCGTGGCACGCACCGAAAGCTTGCCGGTCGAATTCAAGGGCAAGGGCTCGGACGGGAAGGAGAGCAACGCGGCGTCCGCAGCGGATGACGACCTGCAGCCGATGCCCTTCGACTCGGAGTTCGTGAACATCGGCCGGGACTTTGACGGCGAGTCGGGCACGTTCACGTGCCGCGTGCCGGGCGCGTACTACTTCGCCTTCACAGCGGGCAAGGCGCCGGGCCGCGCGCTGGCGGTCAAGCTGATGCGCAACGGGCGGGAGGCGCAGGCCCTGCTCTTCGACGACGACCCGTCGCCCCATCGCGAGATGCAGAGCCAGAGCGTGATGCTGCAGCTCAAGAGCGGCGACACTGTGTGGCTGCACAGCCCGCAGCGCGAGGGCTTCGGGGCCTACAGCAACCACGGCCGCTACATCACCTTCACCGGGTTCCTGCTCTACCCGGACCCGCCGCCGTAGTGTGTGTGCACGCGCCCACGTGGCGTCTGCTTTGCCAGGCGCGGCGTCACTCGCGTCTCGGGGGGGGGTTAATGCTGTGACCACAATTTCATACTTGCCAACCCGGTAGACTTAAGGATGCCAATTTTTAAGACTCTTTTATCGCACGAAAAAAAACGTTGACGCAAAAGCGGTACGCGGAACAAAGGGCGTAACAATCGGCACCCTTTCGATTAAATCTGCATGGTTGGCAAGGGTGGAATTTCACTTGTGAATGATGCTGCAAATGTTAACGATGACAGTTTCGTTATAACCGTTGTAGTTTGAAAAAAAAAGCGCAAATTCCAAGGGGTCAAATAGCAGCAGAACAGTTTAACTAATTACCCCACACAGAAAATTATTTAACTGTAATTAATCCCCGATTCCTGAATCTGAATACAAGTGCTTGTGCCCCCCTGCCTGGCACACACACCAACTTGGAAATTCCCCAGGCTCCTGCGAGCGAACAAACCCATGGCTGTCGTCCAGTCTCTCCACGAAAAGTGCGCGAGAAAACTGCAGAATGCTCGGCTTCTTTCGATGCAAACACGTGGTCCACTCGTGAACTTACTTTCATCAGTAGATACTTACGAGGCTAGCCTCGACAAATTACAAAGAAGCAGTGTGATTGAGTCGCAAACACAATTATTGTAGTTATAAAATAAAAACTTCTAAACGTTGAACAAAAAAATGAGCCAATTCAAACAAAGCACAGTATTGATTTTAAAAAAGCACATTTCCAAAGTACTGTTATATTCGCTCTGCTTATGTGAAACTTAGTCTCCATTTCCAAATCCAGAAGGCAGCACGGAACAAAGGCGACGCTGTCAACGAGTCCCGAGCGCGCTCCATACTGCAGCTCATGACACAAGCACAGAGCAAGCAGCGCTGCACGTCGTGACGTGACGTTGTGTGTAAATGTGGCGCAGCCTCCATCATTGGTGAGGCTCGTGGCTAGCGTTTAATGCCTGCAGCGAGATGCCTCTTATCCGCCACCCTATTGCCCGCTATAATTATAATTCGAAGGTATAATTCTATCTGCAGACATCGAGTCTTCCTACAATCTACATTCATACGTGGATAAAAGGAGTCACCCATAAATGGTGGGAAATTCATTTGAATACCAGTCAATCTTCAAATGAGTCGACCAGAAGTGCTAAATTCATTCAAGCACCTTCATATTTTTGCAGATAAGTTATCCCAAACATCAACGCGGATAACGGGAGTTTCGCTGTACTCTCCTTGGGGGGCATGTGTTGCTTTGGTGATTATCATAGACGAGTAAGACTTGTTTTTTTAGCTTTTTAATTTCGATGTTGGAAAACACAGGCGAAGAGCTGTGTGCCCGCAGAGGCACACCAAAGGCCAAGCCAAGAATGACGAGATTAGCAATAGCTTTTCTCAAGCGCAAAGCTAAATTGGAAGGTCTTTTTTTTCCCGCTGAAATTGATGTGCCAAGTTATTGTGCCTGGTGCAGCATGCTCATGCCACTGAAACAGTGCATCGATGGCCATTTTATCCGTGTGTAAAGATGTCGTGCCATTTTGCAATAAAAAATTATGAGATGCAAAAAAAAACAACCACTATACATTGATAACACGCACAAACATTTATATATAAAATAATAAAAACAGCTGCTATGAATCAATCCACCACACAAGGACACCGAACACTCCTGCGCAGCCTTTTCACACAGCCGTGCTGAATTGAGGGGGGGGGGGGAAATGTAATCCCTCAATGTGTTTTATTTTCTTTGCCAATTTCGAGCCAAGAACGATGCTCAAATACATCAACATGTCAGCCGGATTTATGTGCGCTTGCAGCCCAGTGGCCAGGTGCAACAACTGCCGCGTGATGGATGGAGATGGCACTGCACAAGGGGGGAGCTGTCCAATGATCCCGCACATGCCCGCACATACAGGCGCACAGGCGCGTGCACGCACGCGCACACACACACAAGCACACGCGCGAGTACGCGCACATATGCGCGACCTCACCTTGTCTGTGTGCTGCTCCAACGTGGTCGCCACCTTGCCCTGCACCAGGTCCCACAGGATAACCGTGTGGTCGGCGGAGGCGCTCGCCAGCACGTTCCTGGAAGGGGGACGAACGTGCATTGTTGCACGTGGCGGATCAGAGTGGCGCGGCGTGAGCATAATAAGCGATTACACGCGTTAACGTGATTTGCAAGGCCCAATTCGACACCGCGTGGCCATTACGGTGGGGATGCCTGCCGTCGGAAGTAAATCGTCACCTGGGCTAGTGGTTCCCAACCTGTGGTCCTCGGACAACTGGTGGTCCCGCCTGGCTCGTGAAAAGTGATCCAAGGAACCGTGGGCAGGTGGTACAATTTATTTTCTGTATTATTTCTTACTGCCCACTGCACAAGTATATAAATGTGATACATGTCTCATCAAGACAAGTGGCCTTAATCTGCCGATTGATGGCAGTTTACGGACATCGTACAACGTGTTATCAGTGCGGGCTGATCCTTGAAATCATTTAGATGGATTGGCAGTGGTCCACGCGTCCAGAGTGGTCGGAAAACACGAGCATGGATGACTCGCCGGGCATGGGAGGTCTGCGTGCGTTTACCTTGCGTTGTGGTTCCAGGAAAGGTCAAGCACGGCGTCTGTGTGTCCCTCCGATGTCGTTTCGGAATCTCCATCCGAAGCGGCCTTCTGAAAAATGGCAATGTTTAAGGGAAGGTAAATTAGGTAGGTGGAGGGGGGGGGTATACAGTCGTTAGGGCACTTGCGCTATATGAACCAGGTGAGCCCAGTTCGATTCCTGGACACGGTTAATGGCGAGGGATGCCGTAACCGGTCCTGGACCACCACCCTTCACCAATCCACACTGACCAGCATGGTGAAGTATGGTCAAACAACACCTCTATGACTGACATGGTGTGGCGAGGTGTTCATCCAGCAGTGGAACTGAAAAATGAGTGATGAAATAATTCGAGGTCAATATGAGAAGCACTTGACATTGCTTGTAATAATTAAGTTAACTACCTTTCCTGGTATACAAGGGGGTTGTGGGTTCGATACAGACCCTGACGCCTGTATATTCAGAGTTTGAATGTTTCGCTCAGTATTTTCACGTGGATTTTTCTCCGGGTCCTCCGGTATTTCCCTCCACATTTAGAAACGTGCGTTTAGAGTATTTGGCTGGAATAAATTTCCACGTCATGAGTCACTTCGTTGAGCTATCATTTGTGGCCAGGTCGCTTCCAAAAAAGAGCTACGTAGCTCAGAGGGGCCTTCCCTGGTAGTATAAAAAAATTGCGTCAACCCTCAATGTTAGTCTCTTGCGCCACCAAGTGGAATTCAAGCAAACGACTCGACTCCTAACTTAACGAGCAAAGGCGTAATCGTGCACGCTGCGGGAAAACGCGCGACGGGCTCGTCACCTTTTTGCCTTTTGTCTTCTTCTTCTTCTTGGAGGGCTTCTTGCGACCGAGCCTGAACACAGGCTCCAGTCCGTCGACGAGATCCAGGTCCCACACGTCGATGGTGGGCTTCATGCTCCCGACCGCCAAGAAATTTCCTGCCGGGGGAGCCAGCAAAGACGGTGCCATTAACATCGGGGGCTTTACATCTGCGGGTAGAACTCTGCTATCAGACTACCAACTTTTGCCAAATATTACTTATTAAATTGCCAGGCATGCGGAACTCGAGTGTGGCGATTACAGTCAGTTCTAGAATTGAAGCTTTCGTGACTGCAAGGATCCATACTCTTTGGTTCTATTCGGTAAATTCACGTGGGTAAAAAACAAAACAACAAAAATCACGACGTTTCGGCCACAACACAAGTGGCCTTCATCAGGTGAAGGGACCAAACTATCCAGAGGACACTCCAACGCTGTCCTCTAGACAGTTTGGTCCCTTCACCTGATGAAGGCCGCTTGTGTTGTGGCCGAAACGTCGTGACTTTTGTTGTTTTGCTTTTTACCTACGCGACTTTACCGAATAGAACCAAAGAGTATGGATTACAGTCAGGTTACGTGGGTTAAAACTGGGCCAAGGCGAATTTTGATTAATGTTCCCCACTATAGGAGGGCTTCTTCCCCACTATAGATTAAGGACCTGAATACAATGTTCAAATCCATTAGTTTCTATCGATAATGCAAGAGTAACTTATTCCATGACACATCATGCGCTTCCTATGGGATTTCTCTTGGCGAGATACTTAATTGAATTCCAGTAGGGCTGCGAGCAGTGACAAACTCAAAGTGCCAATTGACCACTCGTGCAAAACAAAAATAACCCTTTAACCTTCTAGAGAAAATCCTCATCTTAATAGGAACATACTTGTGCTGTGTATCCTAGACTTTCCGACACAATGTTACATTTTCAATAATTAATTATAGTCAGGGCTCCACCATTATAGCACACTCGTGTTGTCACTGTGGCATCGAGTGACATCAATAAAGTGCTGAGATTAAGCTTTCAACTCATGCTGGACAGCCTGGGACACAGAACCTCGGTACAAATTTATAAAACCACTTGGATATTGGCTGCATCTTCCTTTACAATAAAAACTGCTTTGTGTTTCGTTTGTTGTCCTTCGCCCACACTGCCGATTAGCACGGTTGGCAATGTACGGTGTGAAATAAGTATATACATCCACATCACTTGTATTTAAAAAGCATCTAAATGCAAGATGCTGTATAGAAACAGTGGGCATATTTATTTGAGAGGGAGAGGGGGTCATCGGACATAGCTCTTCAGCCTGGCCTTGAACAGGGGCAGGAAGCCACACACATGGATGGCTGAGGAAAGGGAATTCCAGGCTATGGGGGCATAAGATGAGAATAAACAACCTCCAAATGAGCAAAAGGTTAACTGGGGGCTTCGATAGAAAACCCTTGTCGCAGAATAGTGGGTATGTGGAGGGGAGTCGAGTGAGAAGAGAGGGGTGAGGTAGGAGAGTGCGTGGAGGGGAGTAGAGTAAGATTCGAGGGCAGACGTAGGATCGTATATGGAAAGGAGTAGAGTGAGATGAGGGGGGGAGAGGAGGGAGAGTTAAGTGAGATGAAAGGGGAGTAGTAGGTAGGGGCGTGACCAAGGAAAATCTTTAAAACGGCAAGCCTGATGTTGAAATTGTTCAGGGACTGTAATGGGGAGCCAGTGGAGACACTGGATCATAGGGTGTTGCATTACCAAGTATTGTTTTAGGAACATTAGCACAATGCGCATGTGGAGGTGTTTCTGGTGAAGCGATGAGGAGTGCAGCACTGGGCTCCAGGTGACGATGGCTTACCGACACGACTGTCTGGGCTCGGGTCAAAGTTGAGCCATTCGGCGCAGAGCGGGTACGCCGGCAGGATTATGTCGTGATGCACATACTGGGAGTCCTCCGCTTCATTGTAAACTGGACAACACAACAGATTAATAAGCCACTTAATGTTCGTCATCCTCAGCCATGATAAATCGACTGCTGGATGAAGACCTCCCCCCCACAAGCCGATGTCATCCCTTCCAGTCCTGCGAAGCAGCAATCTATCGAGTACCTGCGCACAGGCAGTTTTGATAGATTCATCTCTGTAGTGGATATCTTCTTCTCGGGCATTTTCTCTCCTTTGGCTGCCACTCCATCATTAGTCTCAACCTCTGACCATAATTCCTTCTAGCAACGTGACTAGGCCTTTTATTAAAAGTAAATTGGTAAGTTTCTACCAGTGTGTTGTCTCAGCCACATGTTCCTCCGTCTCTCAGCGTAGATCTTTAAGCACATGCCTCTCCACGTTTTTTTCGACACTTTTAACTTTTGTTCCATATTATTTGACAATGTCCATCTTTCTGATTCAAGTCACAGCTGACATTGACATTGAACACCGATTAAAAACGTTTATCTTCAGGCACATTGGTATGCTGCTATTCATTATTAAGTAGTATTTTCCAAAAACCTCTCCAACCAGAATCAGAATCTTTAGACTGGAGGAATCCGATGAGATATGAAGCTCTCACAGTCTGTCCAGCTTGATCCCAGCACGCCTACAATAACTGCCCTTAGATACACATCCTCGGATGCGTTTTTAGCAGCAATTTCTCACCGTCAGAAACGCTCAAAGATTAGGGTTGAGCGATCAACGTAACACTCAACAATTGGTTAATCAAAATTGTACGTGGAGTAGAGGATATATGTCTGCCACACAGCCCTTCGGAGCAAGGCCACACAGGTACTTATACTGGAAGTGTGATTGTATTATAAGTTACTCTTTACCTTCCCCCAACCAGTGTAATAAGTAAGCATGTGAAATATGCTTACAAAGTGTCCTTATATCTAGATTATACTCTAATAAAAAATAGAGCAAAAATACTTAGAGTACTAAGAGGCTGTATTTTTTGTTCTTCTTTTCCAAATTATATTTTAAAATGTTTACATGTACAAATATATTCACATTTTTTTTTTAATCGGACATTAGTCGGGAATTTGAGAAATCCTTCAATCTGCTCTGGGTAAACTCTGCAGCATTTGCCACTGCCTTTCTCCTCACCGTAAATCTCCAGGCTGCAGCAGTCTTCGGCAGTCCTGCCCGTCACGATCAGGTTGTCTGATGGTTTGATGATGAAGTCCTCCTGCTCATCGTCCTCCTGCAGTGTCCCACACATGTAAAGCTCATTGCTCTTTAGAACTGCTTGTGTTTAATTTGTTGTCCTTCCCCCTGCACCTCTGATTATCACGGCTGGCTAAGTGCAAAAGAAGTTCAACGTACATACATACATACGCACCGCCAAAAAAAATGAAAGGACAGGTCTGGATGTTTATTAAAATTGCAAACAAAGATGAGTGTAAAATGTGAAGATGCAGCTTTGTAATTACATGCTCGGAGTACCCCTGGCAGAAAGGGCCTCCACTCGAGGGGAACATTAGCGAGCTCCTCTAGAGGCTATTTTAGCCTCCTCTACCATGCTAGACAGAAGTTTTGGAAGAGTTGGGAGTTGCCCACACCTTACACCACGACACGCAAGCTGTCGATCGACTGTGGTTTATTCATTTATAATGTGGAGTGGACAGAGGCAGTTTAAAGAAACTTGCACCATTGTTTAAACAGCCCGGCTGGGAGTTCAAATCGGTGACCTCTGGATTGCAAGTCAAGCACGCTAACCTTTACACCTCAGCAGCATCCCTCCAGATGGTACCCTGCTTCTAAACGACACTTGAGGGAAGCAAAATCGGCTATATTGATGGAGGCGACATAGTTAAAGGGTTGTTAACCCTTTCCTGCGATGACGTATGTGTACACATACGTATGTACACACATGTACACATACGTATGTACACACATGTACACATGTGTACGTATACGTATGTCATGCGGGAGGGCACGTGGTACAGTTTAGCGCCAGCTATCAGAGTGTGGTTGTGTCACTACAGTTCTCTGCGGTGAGTACGTCTTTAAAAACAGTGGTGCTATGCCTCTCTAGATAAACTTAACACTAACCGCTTGCGCGTTGAGATTCAACGGTGAACGGTACCTACCATGCAACTTGCAGACATCTTGGAACAGGAAAAGGTTAATCTGTCGGTCATTGACCACAGTGGTTGCGCTCACCGTGTCTTTGAGGGTGATGTATGGGTCATCGTCATTGTTGGCATACACAGCGAGGCCCGCCAGGCTATCCATCACGCCGCCCATGCCTGCACACACGTGAGATAGTGGCTTTACGGAACGACATCAATGTGAATTGGCTCAGACAAGAAGATAGCAAACCAGCCCGAGCCCTTGCAGAGACACAAGGAACGAATAAAAAAAAGTGCACGCAAGTGTCGCACAACCACTGCTGGTTATTCACCAGAACGCGGAGATTTAGAGCAATCTGTGCATAATGGCATTCACACATATAGCTCTGTTACGGGACAATGAGAGAACAGGACAAATGTTCAGAGTAGTGGGAATTATTTACGCGGTGATTCAATGAAATATTAAAGCGACGATGAAAATGTAGCTAATTTTGAGAAATACGCAAAGAAGCGTGGAGCGGTGAAACGGGACGTCATTAATTTGAATCCCAATTGGGTTAGGTGTGCGAACGTCTCCCCCAAGCGCGACTCGCGTGGGTGCTCAACCTTCGTCGTTGTCGTACTCGTCCAGCCGATACTCGGCGAGCTCATCAGTCTCTCTCTGCGCCCGTGCGGCTGCTCTGGCGCCATCTGCTGCCGCGTCGCTCACGTCCTGCGCCTCCTCCTCCTCTGCATTCTCTTCGATCCCGTCCACGTCCAGCCCCTCACTCCTGTAGCGAAAATAATGTCTGCACTGCACCGCATACAGCACCCGCACTCACTGTACACAAAGTGCTTGCCACAAATGAACCACAAGACCTTGCTGAGCTCATCCTCGCAACGGCTTTTGGCTTCCCATCGAACAAAGACTGGCACTGCATCGCGTGTTTTCAGATGCTCTTCCTTCCGATATTAGAAAGGCACTGGAGCATTGCACTTTTAAATTTAAAACGCGTTTCTTTAGAACTGCTTTGTGTTTAGTTTGTTGTCCTTCCCCCGCACCTCCGATTAGCACAGTTGGCTATGAATGCTGTGAAATGAGTTCAACCTACAGTAAAACCTTGGATTGCGATTAACTTGGTCTGCGAGTGTTTTGCAAGACAAGCAAAATTTTTTAATAAATTTTAACTTGATAAACGAGCGAGGACTTGCAATACGAGTAGTACGTATACGCTTTGTCTGCTGAGCGTCACGTGATCACAACTGAGCCGATGGTTCTTCTCTCTCTCTCTCACTGCGGGATTGTGGGTAATCATCTCCCATGCTCGGTCTCAGTCGGCGTGCCTCACTCGTATAGTCAACATCCGTTCGAGCGTATACTGTTTACTGTAGTGTTGTGACCACGTGTGTGTGCGTAAATAATTTTTTGATTTTGTGTCCAAGTGTCGTGACTGTTCTTTAGTAACTGTACTGCAACAATGGCCCCTCCTCCTCTCCTCTCTCTCATCTCCCTCACAGTAGCCACGATTAAATTTAATTAATAAATTTGATTACTTATATGATTAAATTTAAATAATAAAAATATGAATATTTTTGGGTTGTGGAACGAATCATCTGAGTTTCCATTATTTCTGATGGGGAAATTCGCTTTGATATACGAGTTATGCTCGCAATACAAGGTTTTACTGTACATACTTAAGCCAAAAATGCAACGCAATAGGACAGTTAATTTAGTTGGGCCATGTCAGGTGATGGACAGTCTTAATGACACAGATTTGGTAGGATCATTAAGTGGCCTTACAAAAAATGTAATTATAAATCATATTTGCTGTGAAAACCTACGCGTTTACACAAAGTGGATTTATATAATTTCTAGATTTAAAGCTTTCGTGACTGCAAGGATCCATACTCTTTGGTTCTATACCGAATAGAACCAAAGAGTATCGATTTATATAGCATCTTAATGCAACCGCATCTCAATATTTTGCAGTGGCCGGGTTTATTTTATAGAGGCAGTATGTAATAGGCAGAGGAAATGCCCATAGACTCAAATAGATAACCAGACTCACAACTGCCCACAATTACAGTGAAAATAAGTGGCAACAATTATTACGCTTCGGTTGACGTCTTTTTCCTGGGTAATTATATCACTATGAACATGAATTACATAAGAAGATTGTCTTGATGTCCAGAGTCCCCAAACACAGCTGGTGCCGTTTAAAATAAAGATTTGATGCTTTCAAAAGTCTAATACAAAGACAATGCTTGAATGTGAAGTAGGGTTGAGCTTGAAATAGATGTGTGCTTGTTGGCTCTACTGGCAGAAAGATACACGTCGTGTTTTGGTGACATTGTGTTGTGGGGGCGCTATCGTGGAGTCAACCTCCATGCGGCGGGTCTCTTTGAAGCGTATTCCTGAATTTCAGGGGGTTACATACACTTCCAGAGGGAGCGATGGCGCTGTGCTTAGCGCACTGTGTTTATAACCCAGCGTCCTTCCGTTTTATTCTCTGCCACAGCTCACATCAGCGGCGAGTGATATCTGAAACTGGTCCTGGGAACCAACTCATGTTCAGCAGTCTGGTGTAGTGTGATCCACAATGTGGGGAGGCTTTCATCCACCAGTGGATTAACAAAATGATGGAAATAATAATTATATACAGTAGCCATTCTTTATCCAACGCTGGATGGCAGCCCTATTATTCCTGTAACCATGGCAGCTCAGCTTACTTGGCATTCTCGCGTGCATCTTCAATGAGACTTTTGAGTTCGTCGGGGTTAAGCTCCACCTTGCGAGAGATGTCACAGTGCACACGAGAGGCAAGGTTAAGTGAGGCAGATTGAACGATAGCAGCAAGGAGGCCTGTAAAAAACGTACAGATGGGATGATGATGTTGTCGATAGATCAACTGAAAATTGCAAATGATTACATTTTCTCAGCACATCGCTCTGCTCTTTAAAAAAATGTCGGTTGCCCAGACATCTTTCTTTCCGAAGGTGGGAAACCCCCCCCCCCCTCCACAAGCCACACCCAATGTCACGTGGTTGGCGATGTCACCAAGCAATGCCCATCACCTCCCGTCCAGCAGCACACGTGGCAACATTCTCCCTAAACACTGTTGTTATCCAATTCGTCACGTAATCTAACCGACAATCGGTAAGAGTAATCCATTGGTTAAATAATTGGAGAGCTCAGCTCTAGAAAGGAAACGTACACGAGGGGATAACCAGGCGAGGAGAACATTTTTTTTAGTTGTTTTGTTTAAAAAGGAGCAAGATTAAGGGGACCGGAAGTCCGGGTATGGAGCGAGTTGAACATATTGAGGCAAGGTATGGGAGGGAGACACGGAGGGTCAATATTGAGAAGAGTCCCGGGTTTCTATGATCAGTGGCATAAAACACGATGATGGTGAATTCAGTTCTCTTTACACAACAGGGGGCGCACTTTCCCCCACACACACACTTCTATGAGAATGGTGTTTGTCACGTAATAACTATGTATGTAGCCAACCGTGTTAGTTGCAGGTGCTTGTTTAAATCTCCCTTTTAGGAGGTTCCTGAAAGTTTTCGCAGGCGGGGGCAATGTTGCTACGTGTAATCCCAATTGAATAATTTGAACTGAACTTTTTCAGCATTGTGGTGGTTGGTCATTATTGGCTACATTTATCAAATATATATTTTGCTATGGGGGGAAACCGGAGAATCCGAAACTTGACACATAGACATGGGAGACACAGATACAAGACTGAGGAGACACAGAGATACAGAGACAATACTGAGACACAGGAACACGACTTTGAAGACACAGGGACACGGGAGACTGAAGTGACAAGACTGAGGAGACACGGGGACACGACTGAGGAGACACAGGGACAAGACTGAGGATACACAGGAACAAGACTGAGAGACACAGGGACACGACTGAGGAGACACGGGGACACGACTGAGGAGACACAGGGAAAAGACTGAGGAGACACAGGGACAAGACTGAGAAACAGAGGGCCACGGGAGACTGAAGTGACAAGACTGAGGAGACACAGGGACACGACTGAGGAGACACAGGGACAAGACTGAGGAGACACAGGGACAAGACTGAGGAGACACAGGAACAAGACTGAGAGACACAGGGACACGACTGAGGAGACACGGGGACACGACTGAAGAGACACGGGGACACGACTGAGGAGACACAGAGACAAGACTGAGGAGACAGGGACAAGACTGAGGAGACACAGGGACAAGACTGAGGAGACACAGGGACAAGACCAAGAGACACAGGGACACGACTGAGGAGACACGGGGACAAGACTGAGGAGACACAGGGACACGACTGAGGAGACACAGGGACACGACTGAGGACACAAGAGGGACACGACTGAGGAGACACAGGGACACGACTGAGGAGACACAGGGACACGACTGAGGAGACACGGGGACAAGACTGAGGAGACACAGGGACACGACTGAGGAGACACAGGGACACGACTGAGGAGACACGGGGACACGACTGAGGAGACACAGGGACACGACTGAGGAGACACAGGGACACGACTGAGGACACAAGAGGGACACGACTGAGGAGACACAGGGACACGACTGAGGAGACACAGGGACACGACTGAGGAGACACAGGGACACGACTGAGGAGACACGGGGACACGACTGAGGAGACACAGGGACAAGACTGAGGAGACACAGGGACACGACTGAGGAGACACAGGGACACGACTGAGGAGACACAGAGACAAGACTGAGGAGACACAGGGACACGACTGAGGAGACACAGGGACACGACTAAGGAGACACAGGGACACGACTGAGGAGACAGGGACAAGACTGAGGAGACACAGGGACAAGACTGAGGAGACACAGGGACACGACTGAGGAGACACGGGGACACGACTGAGGAGACACGGGGACAAGACTGAGGAGACACAGAGACACGACTGAGGAGACACGGGGACACGACTGAGGAGACACAGGGACACGACTGAGGAGACACAGGGACACGACTGAGGAGACACGGGGACACGACTGAGGAGACACAGGGACAAGACTGAGGAGACACAGGGACACGACTGAGGAGACACAGGGACACGACTGAGGAGACACAGAGACAAGACTGAGGAGACACAGGGACACGACTGAGGAGACACAGGGACACGACTAAGGAGACACAGGGACACGACTGAGGAGACAGGGACAAGACTGAGGAGACACAGGGACAAGACTGAGGAGACACAGGGACACGACTGAGGAGACACGGGGACACGACTGAGGAGACACGGGGACAAGACTGAGGAGACACAGGGACACGACTGAGGAGACACAGGGACACGACTGAGGAGACACAGGGACATGACTGAGAGACACAGGGACAAGACTGAGGAGACACGGGGATACGACTGAGGAGACACAGGGACACGACTGAGGAGACACAAAGACACGGGAGACACAGAGACACGGGAGACACAGGAGCTAACCACGTGTCTCCCCCACTCACCACCGCACAAGTAGTTGCCGCACGCATCCGATCCCTCACCTTGTCCGGCGTTTCTTTAGCGACCCCTCGCCTCACCCAGGCGAGGCAGGTGATCTGGCTGCTCATCTTCGGCCCTGGCTCACGGTGAGGGGAGCCGAGAGCGAAGAAGGAGGCGGAGGAGGCGGCGGTGGACCAAACACGAGGCAGAGGGGGGCGAAACTCACGGCGCCACGCGTTTGGATTTCGCAATGCGGATAAGCGTGGGCTTGTCAGGCGCGTTTGGATTTCGCAATGCCGATAAGCGTGGGCTCTGCACGCGTTTGGATTTCGCAATGCGAATAAGCGTGGGCTCGGCACGCGCGTTTGGATTTCGCAATGAGGATAAGCGTGGGCTCGTGAGGCGCGTTTGGATTTCGCAATGCGGATAAGCGTAGGCTCTGCACGCCTTTGGATTTCGCAATGCGGATAAGCGTGGGCTCGGCACGCGCGTTTGGATTTCGCAATGTGGATAAGCGTGGGCTCGGCACGCGCGTTTGGATTTCGCAATGCGGATAAGCGTGGACTCCCCACACGCGTTTGGATTTCCCAGCGCTGATGAGCGAGGCACTTGACCACGTGCTTTAAATATCCCAATGCCGATCTGAAATTGTGAATATCGATCGGAGACACTCGTACGTGCTACACTACTGCACGCGTGTTTTAAACTCGCCAGTTATAAGCATCGCCTCGTCACATAACGTTTCAATTCCTCACACCTATATGTATTAGACACGTGTTTAAATGCCCCCGAAAGACCCAAAGAATAGGAAAATGCCCTAGTGCTTAAAGATAAAGGCTGCTCGTGCGATTACGTTTTCTCGTCCTGATAGGTGTAACTCGTCAAGCATTTTTTGTATCTCCCAACGTTGATAATCACGATAGCGCCCAGTTTTAAAATGTCCCAATGATGAGAGGCGAGACCCGGTCCCAATGGGATTATATTTTACAGTATTGCTCAGTCGAACCAATTATAATTAGAATTCCCACTCGGCATAAACACATTCGTTTACATTCTCCAGCGCGGATAAGCGGTGCGCGCATTGCCTTACTGGACGCCACGTGTGACGGAAGCCTGCGGTGGTCAAAGTGTACACGCGAAAAGCGAAGCTCTATCACCAATGTTGCTGCAGACTCGTCGTCTTACAAAAGATTACAGCGCTGTGTTGCTTAATTCACAACTTATTCGGTGTTGCGTTGGTAGTGGTGCACAAGTACAAATAATAATTTAAAAAACATTTGTTAAGAACGCTGGATTAAAACGTGGTCCATATGTCTTGTGACCGCCATTTAATTCTCGAAAACGTAATATTTTTAAAGTAATGTTTATTTAAAATAGAAATGAAAATGCAAAGGAAAATAATGTTGCGGTGGGTCAATAAATTGGGGTCACAATACATCCGGGTCACCCTTATGATAGGCGTTTTCGGGGAATTGACCTTCCTGCAATATTGACAGGAACTGATCCATCTTTAGACGCCAACGAGGTCCCCCGAGATCGCCTTCTTCTGAGTACTCTGAGGTCGAGGCGAGACCCGGGCTTTTGCCAGTGCAGCTCCCAACCTTTGGAGCAACGCTTTGCTCATGAGTCAATCAGAATGTGTTTAAGTGTGCATTTGAAAGCTCACCTCTTTAAAGTGGCCTTCACCCTGGTTCTGATTCCATACGTTTTTTTGGGTTAGATCGCGTATATATTAATGTGTCGTTAAACCAACCACCACCCGACACAGCCATATGAAACTTGCAAGCGAAAATCAGACCGCGACGTGATATATTCATTGCATTAATGCGTGTGCAATTTGTAAGGGCGCGGTGACACAGACCTATTTCATTTTAAGGTTATAATCCCTTGCTCATCGTAACGTCCGTTTTACTTTGATGTCTCGACAACAGCGTCACGGAGATCACGTGACGTGATGAGGGTTCTGCCTTTGTAGTGAGGGTTGTGAGTTGACGCCGAGGAGGGGGGAGGAGGCGCCTCGCCCCTCCCCCATGTGGGGTGACGTCAGCCGCTAATTATTATTAATGGTAAGGGGTGTCCATTTGGAGGACGTCACCTTATGATTATTAATGAGGGGGGCTGTTTGATGTGGAGTGACGTCACCTGCTAATTTTTATTTAAGAGGGGGGAGGGTGCTCCATGTGGAGTGACGTCACCTTCTAATGATTATAAATGAGGGGGGGGGGTTCCATGCGGAGGACGTGACCTGTTCATGATTATTAATTAGGGGGGCTGGTCGATGTGGAGTGACGTCACGAGCGTTGCACACAGACATTCTTGGCTCATTATAGTAGCTAATAATAATGGCGGGGGTGTCTATTTGGAGGACGTCACCTGCTCATGATTATTAATGAGGGGGGGTCTGTTCGATGTGGAGTGACGTCACCTGTTCATGATTAATCATGAGGGGGGCTGTTCGATGTGGAGTGACGTCACTTGCACATGACTATTAGTGAGGGGGTAGTGCTCCATATTGAGTGATGTCACCCGCTCATGATTATTAATGACGAGGGGTGGGGGGGGTGTCCATTTGGAGGACGTCACCTGCTCATAAAGATTAATGAGGGGGGCTGGTCGATGTGGAGTGACGTCACGAGCGTTACGGACATTCCTGGGTGATTCGAGTAGGTTGGTCGTGAAAGCCTTCGTGTTAAACTGGTTCTGATTGTTGTATATTTCCCCTACATGGGGGGCACTTACGTGCACTTGACCATGAAAACTATTACATTTTGCGTGACCCCTGCGAAAATACGCGGATGATTCCAAAACACCTTAATACTAAATTGTGTCCAGATGCGTTACTTTAATACCGGTTGAAAAAGCGAACCGCTCAAGATGTCTCAAGCGAGCCATCCACGAACGCCAGTGTCTAAAATACAGTACAGATGTAAGCTCACCACTAGAGGGTCCTGTCCCATTCTAGATCCATCGCAAAGCCCGGTAAAACTGACCACGTTGCTGGATTATTAGTATGCAAGGCAGATGAACAGTGATGTTTTTAACGTGTGTGTATATGGAGACAAAACGGAGTTCTGCCTGTGAGCTTTTACGCGGACTTTATTTTGCTTTTGTGATCTTGGAAACCCAGGTAACTTGCAAATGAGTGTCAAGCAGCGCCGGATTATCCTAGTAGCAAAAGTAGCATATGCTACGGGCCCCGCACATTCAAGCTATCAATTCCGGTTCAGTGATTCTGCACTTGCTCTATTACTATAGTACTATACTGCCTTAAAATTTTACGAACGACTGGGTGTTTAAGGTTTAGCGATTTGTCTTATTATCTGGCTGTATAGCAAATGAAACAATCCAATTACTTTACTGTGCAAGTAAAATTTTTGTGTTTTAATATTTGTATATTTTTATTTAGAGCCCCTTTATAACATATGCTACAGGCCCTGCACTAGCTTAATCCGGGACTGGTGTCCAGGTCTCCTGAGTTATATTTACGGTAGATTCGATTATGCGCGTGTGATCTATCCGACTTGTGGATTAACCGCGCACCCGAGATTAGCATAAACTAATAACTCATTGATATTCCCTTAAGCCGAAATGAATAATCTAAAAACAGTTTTACATTATTATTGGACATGTTTACTACAAGTCACGTGTTTAAAACCGAGCAAATATATCTGAAATCCACGTGATCGCCCCTACAGTACAGTAGTTGCCATATCTTTACAACAGTGGGCGGAGTTTGATGTTGATTGGCGTGGCTTTGCTGTCCAATTAGTGGGCAGAGTCTTCTACGTGGGAGCAGGAAAGTGTTATTTTCACTGAGCATGCACATCGATTGGTCGATTATTCCTTACACATTTTTGTTTTGTTCATAAACTACATTTTCTTAATGTAAACACCATTTATACCTATGTTAATGGTTTTTTGCATAGAGATCCGAGGAAAATGGTTATATTTTTGGATTATCCGCAACTTTTAATTATCCGCAGCCGTCCCCGTCATTAGCGCGGATAATCGAGTCGACTATATACGTATTTTGAACTTTCTTCTCACCGTACATAACTAACCGTGCTAATCTTGATCATTTGAACATGTCATTCTCCACAGCAACCCATAAGCAGTTTGTATATGACGGGTGTTCTTACCTTGGTGACATGAAAGATTTAATTCTGCACGAGCAGGAGCTGTTCCTTCTGCCTTGTAAGATGTTCTGCGAGACAATTCATGTGTTCAAATAATCTTCTTACGGAAGTCCAAAACTCAAGATGATCCAGAGTGCCATTTGCAGGCTTAATCCTGAGCACCCGCAAACAAAACCACGTACCTGTTGTACCAACATCCATGTGCTGAAATGTTAAACCAGGCTCAACTCCGAGAACACTCGCGCCAATTTAAATTTTTCCATCTTCCATGGACTCGCCACTGCCCTCCGCTTTCCCCTCTAAGACTTCTTATGGGATCTCCACTCCAGTACCAAGGCCTTCTTGTGAATGCCTCCGGTCAACCACTGTGTAACGGGAGGTCACTTCCATAAAATTGGTTTCGTGCATGTGGGAGGAACCCCGGATTAGCCAGAGAAAACCCACGTGTGCGAGTGGATAATGCTTAAAAGCTCTGCACAGATGGTTTCAAGAATCCCTGACACCTCTATGAGCCTAGTAGGTTTTGGAATTTCCAAAATGTGTTATCCACCGTATGCTTGTAAGCAATGGACTCCAGATCCTCCTCCTCTGCCTATAATCGATTTTCCCTTCCCTATTAAGTATATTCAGTCACACCCATCACCATACTTTTGCCTAATTTCCCCTTCTTCTCAATATGCACATGCCACCTATTTCTGCAGCGTCTCGAGACGTGGATGCATTTCATCATCAACATCATCATCTGGATGGAGACCTCCAAGCAGTCGCAGTCTCATGGTCTTGCAATGCAACAATCCACATAACACCTTGCACACGAGGTATCTCTGCAGTGAATGTCCTCTCGGGCTTGTTTCCAACATTGGTTGCTACCCTGTCATTAGTTTACAACACCGGGCAGCATCCCCTTTTAGCCACGGGTTCTACTCCAACCCACTTTAGTAAAAATGATGTCTCTTACTTGCCTATGTTCTCTAATCTGTGTTCGTCCTCCTGTTGTCATTCCAAGCTTGATGCTTAATGAAGACAAAATATATTGTGCTGGCCACGTGGGTCACGTGATGATCATGACATGTGACATATTTGACAATGCTTGTTGCCGTGCACAAACAAACGTCACCAACAATTGATGTTTAAATGTAGCCTCCTTTTATTTCAACGAAACTATGAGCAGTGAGTGATAGTACAGGGGAAGAAACATTTAAAATTCCAACTCCTAGCAGGATTAAAAAAAAGGCAAGATATATTAGATGAAACATACCTGGACCACAACGTGAGTAACACAAAAAGAGAACATCCCCAGAGGATTTCTCTAATAAATGAGACAATCGCCACTCAGAACTCCAGTGAACTCTGTGCGGTGGGCCCTCTGTAAGGGAGCCGATGCAAAATAAATGAACGCCAGGGTGGCCTTTTGTATCCGCCCTTCATTCCCACTGCACATCACGCGAGTTTTAATCACTCGGGTGGAAAAAAAAACCCCAGCACTAGGACAACGACATGCTGCTCCTGGGCTGGCCATGGCAGCATGTGATAGTTTCCATTTTGAGGCAATTGTGGGCGGACGGAAATTGTAAAATTGAGGTCCTTCGATGCGTTTGTCGGTTGTACCGTGTCGTTGTTCAGCGTGATGCCCAACGTGTCACTGCGAGTGCTGCGAGCTTCTTCAAGAAGTCAATAACTGAGTATCCAGTTCCTGAAACAGCTCGAAGCACGTGGAGTGAAATGTCGGACATCATGCCAACAACACGCGCGGCACAACCCGAAAACACACTGGCGGGGCTGTACACAGCACAACCGCGAAATCCTTCGCAGTTGTAAAGTTTGTTTGACTCAACCTTACAGCAGCAAATATCTCTGGGCCACAAAACCAGAAGGAAAAATGTGAGCTGATGGTGGGAGTTTTCCCAATGGTCGTGTACAGGAAGGAGGAGTGCATTGTGGTTAGGTGGTTATTCACCGGCAAAGCGGTCCGGTCTGTTACATCAACGTAAGCATAATTGGCCATTAAATAACTCTGCAGTATTGGGATACACGGTACCATATGCAGGTTTTCCTGTTTTGCAAAACAACTCCAATCCTCGGGTAAACAATAAAATACAGTCCCCATAAATATGAAGGTTCATAGAAAATGTTTCCCGGATTGTGAACTTGTTTTGACTTTTTTTGCATTGGAAAGGATTAACATTCATGAAGCGAAATGAGATATTTGCCATTGCCATCTTTTATTCTCCAATCTAGCCCCCTCCCCTCTGGAGACCCTGATTGTTCCAAGGGAATCTTGAAACGAACCGAGGACAGTCAGTGTGCAGCGTGCGACCCCATCGTAAATTCAAGGAGCGCCCCCTGCACCGACTGAAACGGTGGTACCGTATACCACCAAACGACAATAACATAAATGTTTTCTAATTCCAACCTTAATATGTACACATTAATTCGATACATTCACCAGTGAAGAGAAAAATAACACGTCCTATTTGTGTGAATATAGTTTTTAAAAGGTTAATTGCATCAATTGTGACAAAATATAAAATATAATGTACCTGTACACTTTACAGAAGTTCACCAATGATAGTTACTTTCCATGATTAAATCCTATAATACTGTATTTGTATGATGACGCAAAAATTCTGATAATTGATTCCGTAACAACCTGCTTGTGCAGGGAAAAGTGAAAAAAAGCCTTTGCATTGATGATGAGACATTTCAATTCACTGCACGGGCAGATCCAAAACCCAAACACACATGGCATGCCTTTTGGCTCTCCGCATATTTACAAATGTACAGCTTTGATGTCAAAGTACCGGCCGTGCAGTATTTCTAATTCTCATCATCAGAAAAAGAGGTGTTCCCGTCCCACTGGACATTGAAAAGAAGGATAGTACATTTTACAAATGTGAAGGTAAACCCAGACACAGTATCAAACATACGGGGTGGGATTTTTTTCAGCTGCCAAACATCACACCAGTTCGCACACATTTACTCTATTGATATGTGCCTACAACCCTGGTTGTGTCATCTACAATAGCTTCTGTTTAAAAAAAGAAACTCGCAATACGTAAATATGTAAAACAACGTATGGTTACCCAAATATAAAGCTAGCAATATAAGCCAGCCCTTGGTGTTCCGAGTGGTGACACTTGTTCAGCCCATGGCTGTAGCTGTGCTCTGCAGACTTCAAGGCCCCCTTTGTCAGTGGTCTCGGGTACAGCGAGGAAATTCTGTCGGGATTGACGGAACAGAAGAGAACACACGTCTGTTTCCGACAGCTGACAATGAGCGACGGAGGCCGCTTTTCTGTGATGGCAGTGGGGGACACCAGTAACAGCCATGGCTGATGCCCTTGAAGCACAGCGGGTCGACCGTTTGTGTTGCGCCGGAGAGGAGCTGGCCGTTCCTTTCGGGCCACACCAAACACAAGGGTGATGGCGACGTGCGCCACACATCATAGCCAACGGGCTTATGTCTTTACAACGATGAAACAGTCTTTACGAGTGGCCAGGTTCAAGGCATGCGAAACCGCCACAGTCCATGAGAAATACACTGCCAGAGACTGTCAAAAGTAAAATAAAAATCCAACTTTGAAAATAAATAATATAGGTTAAAAAAACACATGTGTGGAATGTATTTTGTTGTGGTCAGTGGTTCAGTAATATATCTAAAATTTAAATAAAAAGGAGAGGTACATGAAACAAACAAGTTCTGTAGCCCCAATAATATTGAGTAAACACTGGCCGTTTTAATTCATCAAAGTGCCAGGCCTCTTCCTGGAAGGGTTAGTCTGGGCAGATATGTCACACGTAAATAAAAACTTCCCGCATCCCTTCCTCTCCAAGGACAAAAATCCTGCAAGAGCAACGTCGGATAACGGGAAATTAGGTGATGTGGTAGGAGTGGAATTATTTACTCCATCAATATTGAATCTCACGCGTGATAAATGCGTAGAATCTTGGGTTTTTATTTATTTATTTAAAGCTTTCGTGACTGCAGGGATTCATAGTCTTGGTTCTTTCGGTAAAGTCACGTAGAAGGGAAACAATAAAATAATAAAAATATAAAACAATATATTTTTCTCAAACCCAAGAATATAATCTTGGGTTTGAGAATCGACTCGTGTCGCCCCTGCATCGACGAGAGGCTTTGCCATTCACTGCGATTTCATTTTTTAAAACGTATCATTCCACCCCTACAGTCTGCGGTTGCGTGTCCTGACCCATTGCCGATTAGGTAGTTCAATGCAATGACTCAGCCAGTGCAGAACCCAAATACAGGTTTTAGATGCTACCACAGCTAGTACTGTGGGCTGGGGGTAGAATCCAGAGATGTTTCGTGTTTTATTGACACGACTTTCATTTGAACCCCAACTCCTCCATTGCCTCCACTTGCATGAATCAATGCACCGTAGAGTTATTCCACTTCATAAAATCACACTCTGACTATTCCCAAAGCAAATAGAATCACAATAAAATATGATGATGACGACGACGATAATAGTGAAAATATAAGCATATAAAATCCATGGTACATTTGTGCTGATAATATTAACACGCAACATTTTACACTCTATTATAGCTTTTAGGGCCAAACCTTCATCGACACATCCCCCTCTTTGTTTCAAAAGAAGTTGGTCCTGTATCCGCGCCCCCCCCCCCCCCCCGGCCTTCCCCCCACTTCCAGCAAAGATAATTAAAATTTCCAAGGGCTTTATACAGATTGATGCTCAACATCAAGAGGAAACAAAAAAAAAGCCGTTCAATGCATCTTAAGATAAGTCCCTTATCTTACGTGCGCTGCCCCTCCGGAGCGCTGCCACCGGGCCGCACATGATCAACATGCCGCGTGACGTTTGCGAGTACGAAACCGTTTAAAATCGACTCGAATGCTGACGGCCTCCAAGAGGAGGGGTTTTTTTTTTAATGCGTCGGCGCTCAAAACGAGGCGCGTGCCCACGCGCACGAACGAGGCGGGTGGCGCGCGGACGTTTGAACGTGGACGGGCCGCGCGGTGACCACGTGACCACGGGCAGGTGTGTGTGTGTGTGGTGGGGGGGGGGGTGGAAATCAAATTTGGAGCAGTGCTTCTTACGCGGGCGCGGCTGGCCCTTTTTCCAACCCGATTACCCCTCGCCTAAATTGTCGGCTGACAGCAGCCTGTACTATCACATCGGCTCGGCACGTTCGGAAACTTCCCCGCCCGCCCGCCCCGTCGTTGCGACGGGGCGCAGTCGCTTTAAACGCGAGGCGCCGCGTTGGGCGCTGCGACTCCGCCCTGTCCATAGCTGCCATAACAATCCGGACGGGCACAACCACGTTTTGCACACCCTTGATAGTAAACAGACGAACAAACAAAAATTCCAACCCCACCGCCGCGCTCCACCGTGAATGCTTGTCGATTTGACTTTACGTTGAATGGGATTGATTAACGCAGTTATATTTATATATTCTCTCTCTCTCTCTGGGAGCAGACTTCGGCATTCGATAATCGACACCCTGTTCCGAAGAGCGCTCCCGAAGTGACACTTTTCGCGACCGAATCCCTGTGCCTTTCACACCACCATCGCAGCAGATGTGCAAGAGTCCTTTTTTTAGCCGTGTTAATTGGGAGATTTTTTTTATATTTCTCTCGCTCTCTCATTTCATCATTTCTACTGCGTTCACATTTTTTTCTAAAACGTACTCAATTTTGAGTTTTTGTTTGATAGCTTTCGTATAAATGTGGCATGGTCGCCGACCTTCCGTCCGCGGAAAAGCGTTCTTCTTTCGTCCAAACCGCAATCTGATCCGAGTGCCGCAGTTTCATCGTCGCATCTCAACGCTTGCCCTTTCCCTTCACCGGATGCGAGCGGGCGCCTGCTGTGATCAATATAACAAACGTCCACGAGCCATCTCAACACAACAACAACAGCAAACAAAGAGCACAATGCGCCAGCGAGTTCACACTCAGGGCCCTCGGTGGACGGCTCGTTTTGGATGTATATCTGCTTGTCGTTGACCTATTTAATAATCTCATTTTTGTTGCTGTGGTTTATTTTCTAAAAATAACATCCGTAAACATTTAAAAAAAGAAAGCGTACAGTTTAGCTTATGCCGGTCCTCTCTTGTTTTCAGTTGTAGCCCTATTGAGATTGGCATTGGCATGAAGCTGTGGGCTGCGTTTGTCACAGAGGGTGAGGGGGGTGGGGGTTGGATAGGTGAGACTGCAGCGCCTGCAATGTAGGCGAGTCGTCACTCAGGTGACCCTGAAAATGCTCGGATCGAAAGGTGTCCGAAACGTGCGCGCGCGTGCGTGTTCATTCTTGATGGGAACCCAAAATCTGCCCGGACAGCGCAGGTCCGTACAATAATTACCGTAACAAATGAGAGTCTACATATCGAAGTTGATCTTTCATTCAGATATCTTATAATTAAGCGGGGGGGGGGGGACCCCCCACAAAGTTGTCCATCCTCACGGCGATTTCCTTAAGCATCTTCTCCGTTATTAGCAGCAGATCAAAATAACGACAAGTTCCCGTCGAAATTCCCCACGTCGACATTCTTTGCGATTTCAAACGCAATTTCTATTCAAAGCAACGTCTTCAAGCCCAAGCCGAGCATCCAAGGCTCTCTTGGAAAGCCATTCAGACGCATTGCGCCGTGCCGCATTTCCGAAGCCTGTCCTACGTGCGCACCCTTCCACTCGCCCTCGCAGGAACCTTCACGGCTTATCCCCGCTTCGGCACGTCAGCTCTGCCAGGTCCGCCGTCTCCTCCGGCCTCCGTCGAGGCTCTGTCCGCGTCCAAATGTGCTCGGGCGACGCGACGCGCTGCGGCGACGGGCACGAAGTTTCCGCTCCGCCAATCCGTCGTTATTGCTTCGATGGCCGATCACAGGCTAGAGCCAAGGCCGACGTTTCTCAACAAAAACGCGCGAAACAGGCTTTGCTGCCCCCCCCCCCACCCCGGGTTATCTGTCCAGCAGAATCCGGAGGGCGCGCTCGATGTTCATGCGGTGGCCGACTCGATTGACCCCAAGCTCCAGGAGGTCCTCCTTCTGCAGGGCGGGCAGGTGGGTGCCGTCGATCTCGTTGTCGAGGAAGCTCTCGCGGTGCTCGGCCAGGTTGAGGCTCTCGAGCCAGTCCCCGACATCGTACTTGGTCCACAGGTGCAGAGGCTTGCGCGTGAATGGTCTGTCCGAGGGCAGGGGCGGCCAGGAGGGCATGAGGGCGGCGTCCTGCAGCGGCGTGCCGGGCGAGAGCGGCCGGCGCGCGGAGGGCACCCGCGACGGGCTGGGCGTACGGTAGGGCGAGTGCCGCGGCGAGAGGCTGGGGTCGCGCGTGGCGAGGGCGCGGTACGGCGACCGCCCGGGGCACGGTGACACCGAGCGGCTGCGCAGGCTGCCCACTCCGCCGCCGGTACCGCCGCCGACGCCGGCGAGCCGGTTCTCCCGCGAGCGCGGGCTCAGCGGGCAGAGCACCGAGAGCTGGGCGAGCGCCGGCGTCGGGGACGTGGGGGGCGCGGGGAAGAAGGTGGTGGCGGACGACCGTCTGACGTCGCAGTAGCCGCCGCCGCCGCTGTCGGACAGTTCGTGTGGTGGCGGCGGCGGCGGCGGTGGCGGGTAGGGCTGCGAGGGGCTGGGCGGGGTGAAGCCCACGGTCTGCAAGATGCTGGGCGAGGACGCCGACGGGGAGACGGCGCTGCGCCTCGAGTCGCCGTAGGGCGGGTCCGCCTGGTGGAAGGGGAACGCCGACTCGCGCAACGGGCTCGCCGACGGCGACAGGTCGGGGTAGGAAGAGGCGACCGGCACGCTATCCGCGGCGCCCGCCAGCGGCAGCTGGTGCGGCCGCCTGGAGCCACCGTACGACGCCTTGGCCGGCGAGCGCAGCGAGAAGCGAAGCTCCTTGATGGGGCTGATGGGCGTGGCGCCGGAGGAGATGGTGGCAATGTTGGGGAAGGAGGACGCGGCCGCGATGGTGCCGCCGCCGCGCTGGGGCCCCGTGTCGGAGCGGGCGCCGCCATCGCAGCCCGGCAGCGCCCGCGGAGGATTGCAGCGGAGGACGCGGCGCAGGGACGGGCGATCCACGGCACCGGCGCCCGCCGGGTTCAGAGCCGGGGTCGGCGGCCTCGGTCGCTGTGGCTCCTCACTCTCCCCAGCTGCACGCCTGGGGTTCAGGTAAAACACCGTGGCAAAACGAATAATCTCGATTGAAGGCAAACTCCACTGCGTTTGCCCTGTCTAGCCGTTCGACACGATTTTGGGTTGTACAGCCTCCGTGTTGTTTTCGCGCAATTATCGACGTTGCACCGTGACATGAATGGAGCCTAATCGGGAACTAAAACGGAGGCTAGCAATCAAGCTCGGATCGCACAACGGCCAGCCTGCATCAAACAACACCGCCGGCAGCCGGCAGCTTCATTTCAATCGAGGGAGATCGCGAGCTTCACCGTTCAGTTCCCGAAGAAGCTCCCAGCACGAGGAGCGAAATGTCGGGCATTGTGCTGGACAACATGTGGCAGGTACAACCCAAACAACACCGGAGAGCCAACAGGCAAACCGTTGATGTTCAACGCTCGATTGGAGCACACTGTGGGTTTCCTGTTTTTGTTTTCTCTTGCACGTTGCGAAGTTTACATTCGACGCTTTTGCCGTGACATGCAGGGGGACCAGTATTCGATTGATGCCTGTTGCCAGAGCAACACAGCTGAGATGCAGCACTGCCCCCTCCCCCCGGCCCTGTATATTGGATCCGTTACGGTGATGATAATGGGTCGCACGGTGGTTACATTTACAGAGCATCCAATTCCAAGCTGGGCTTTGGATAGACAACTCGGCAAGCAAACAAAAACAGTGTCCCATACCTAAGCACAAGCCAAGCATTCAATGTATTGTAATAACTCCTCTTCATCATTCAATAATAAGGCTGGTGCTCCTGACAAAATGAATACATCTAGGTACCATTTTCTGGCCTCAAAACTATGACACCGCCTTTTTCAGAGTTATTGGAGTGCAACTGCAACTCGGAGCCAGAGTCACATTTTTTTCTATATTTTGTCTCTTTATCCAATTTTATCGCGATTGTGTTCTAAGTGACATCCGGTGGGATGAATAATAATTTCCAATCTCTTTCAGGGAAGTGCAACCCTCCACGTTATAAAATGGCCTCCGGAAGCACAGTTCACAGACCCACGTCGATAAGAACCCTTCATAAAGCGATCTCAGATCCATAAAGTAGGGGGCAGCACTTTTCCACCTGCTTTTGCCAGCGCGTGAGAGCAGTGTTCGTCTCGTGACAATGGAACTGATATTTTAATTCTCAGCGCTGTAATACCGCCAGATTCAGTGCAGAGCAAGATTTAATGCGGGACGTTTTTTTCGTGCAATAGTCACTGGGGTGAGATCATCAACTCGCTATATTTGACAACCCGGTTTATTCACCGGTGGCTACAATCTTCATTTGATCCCAGGATCTCAGCAGTGCCAGCTCAGTGCCTTGACCCCTGAGCCACCCAGCCACCCCCAGGGCGACATTCACATTTTGCAAAAGCGGCGAAGAAAATGCATCTCCTTGCTGAATTGTCCCATCGTTGACAATGAAGACATTGGCTCAAATTCACCAAAAATCTGATGTGAATTTAGCTCCTTAACCGGGAGGTGTTTTGAGGCCAGTTGCATAAACCACCCTAAGTGATAATCTACCTTAATAAATCTGATTCGGAGAGGAATCTACACGATTTTTCACTTCAGTTTCATGCAACCGACCACAGGCATCTGAAGGCGCCTCCAGCATGGGAGGTTACGCATCGTCACGCTCGCGATTTTACACGGCAAACGTGTAAAACCAGAGTTTCTGTGACGGCTGCAGCATGTGGGGACGTTGTCTCTTTCACGCTCGCGTGTTTGCCGAATGGGCGACCATTCCCGCAGTGCCGCGGTTATGCCGGTCACCTGGTGGGACTCGTATCTGACGCCCCAACAGCTTCACAGTTAACGTGCCGTGCGTAACCTCCTACCGCTTTGCGTACTCCTCCACCTGTGACCACCACCCCCTTTCCCAATTAGCCACGCCACCACTACCACCATCACCACTTAAACTACCGCCACCGCCACCACCACCTCCTTTGTACTCTAACGAGCACTTTAATAGGCCAACCATGGGCACACGTGGGGGTCAGCTCGGATGCCTATGGCAGTGGGAAGCGGCACATCCGGGGGTGCGTTCTTCCCTCATCACCCACCTGGCTCTCACTTGACCGAGCACACAGAGTGGGCATGAGGTGCGTGCATGGAAAAGCAGAAATAAAGGCACATTAATCGACACCTCCACAGATAAAAAAAACACGCAATGCACGAATGAAACACAGTACAGTATGGCACGTAAAATAATAATAATAATACGTAAAAGCGACTTTAAGCGATAGGTGACATTGAACGGCAGGAGCATGAAATGAAGAGGAACGGCTCTGTCTGCGCAAGCTTTTATGAATTCGGAAGCCGCTTGCTGGATTATGGGACGAGACGAACGAGGCGGGGGAGTGAACGTGGACGCGCGGGAGTGCACGGCGTCGTCCGGAGACCGTGCTCGCCGGCACTTCCTCGAGCCAAGCGAAGCCAAGCTCGGCCTCGTCTCCGTGGGATCTTGATTGCAAGCCTTCCACGAATTCAAGAGAAGTTTACGCACAAGTGATTGAAGGCCCTCAAGGCTGCATGCACAGCCTTCTTGGAATTCCACTTCTGCTGGGTGGCTAAGGGTGTCCTCACTCCACGCACGTCACAGTGGGTTTTTTGGCCGTACTTCACCACGCTCATCGGTGATAATTGGTGAAGGCGGGGAACGTAGTTGTTTATGGTGAGGGCACAGAGCGTAGACGTGAGGGGATAGAAGCACAGCACAACAGTGTATTTCGCCGCTCAATGTTGCCCACAACGCACCCCGCAGACTGCCTGGCAACCTGTCGTGAGGTATGGTGGTCACCCATCCACCAAGGCACTTTCCAGGCGCAATCCTTGTTTTTTGCTTTCTAGGTCTGGTGAGCACAGGCATTTAAAGCAGGCCTCAAAGAAAACCTAGAACATCAAACAACGCCTGATAGCCGTACACATTAGAGAGTGAGGGAGGGTGGAATAAATGTTGATTAAATTTTACTTGTCCAAGTCACCTCTCTGCCCCGTGGATTTTCACTCGAATTGAAGAGCAGTAATGTATGTTTAACTTTTGACTTAAAGCTTTCGTGACTGCAGGAATTCATATTCTTTGGGTCTTTCGGTAAAGCCAAGTAGATGGTTCAAAGAAAATAACAAAAAAACTACGACGTTTCGATCGATGTGTTGTGATCGAAACGTCGTAGTTTTTTTGTTATTTTCTTTGAACCATCTACATGACTTTACCGAAAGACCCAAAGAATAAGAAATGAGTTTTCAATCTAGATTAAAAAGTGCATATGCTCCAGTGGCTTCCTAATATAGGAAGGAAGAGCGTTCCAATTGGCCGCAGAAGCGCATCCGAAAGCGCCACGCGATGCGGTGACCACCATCTTTGTTCGATGGCCAGCCAAAAGGCACTGCTGTTGCGAGGATGACCGGAGTTCGCGTGATGGTGTGTGCTCTTCTTGACGAGATCAGCGAGGGAGTCACATCTAACCTTAAAACCTGCTGTGTCATTTCATGCAAAGCAGCCTCACGTCCTGGTCGGACAAAAAGTGACAAAGTCACAGAGGCCCAACCGATGTTCAAATGAGTGTTGGTTGGTGCTTTCCTCTGCTGTTTTAAGCCGTTGGTGAAACATTCCACGTTTCCATGGCGGGTGACAGACGTGCCCTTCATGGAGCTCCTTATACCGACCCCTCCCCAAGGATATAATCGTTAAAATTTTGAGAGTAAGAGAATCAGCTCCTCCCTCCCCCAACTCCAATGCTGATTCTTATGATCACGATTAGATTATTTAAACATTGCAGTGAATGGTAGCACCTCTAGTGGTTGCGTGGGTGATGTGAACACGTTACATAATGTACACAAATAAATAAACACACTGATTAATTCCTACGCAATTTTACGTGATGCATACACTGTGACCTCGTGAATTAATGAACGCGTTGTTCCATCCATAATGAAAATTATGCTGATGCTGCTGCTGGTGGTGGTGATTGATGGTAATGATGTTAATGATGCCGTAGACAGGGCCCGAGTGGACCCTCCCATGAATTTGAAATACCTTCACCAAGTTACTGGGTCTACTCACTGTGCTGTATCACACCCTATGCCAGTTAGACAAGGCATTCTAATATTATCGCCAAACTCTTAACAAGGTCCTCCAATCCTAATGGGTAAGTCTGTTTCAAACACGTGCCTGTCAAAGCACAGGGAGGTTCTAAAACTTTGGGTGTAGATTTCGTACACATTAAAGATGTGGAAATCTTTTGATTTAAAGCTTTCGTGACTGCAGGGATTCATATTCTTGGTTCTTTCGGTAAAGTCACGTGACTTTTACCGAAAGAACCAAGAAGATGTGAAAACCTTCGTATAATCATAATAATGTGGATTTTTTTAAACTTTGGTATAGAATGACAAGCAATAAGGACTGTAAGTTGGATAGATGGCAGGAGCATGAAATGAAGAGGAACGGCTCCGTCTGCGCAGCGTTTATGAATTCGGAAGCCGCTTGCTGGATTATGGGACGAGTCGAACAAGGCGGGGGAGTGAACGTGGACGCGCGGGAGTGCGCGGCATCGTCCGGAGACCACGCTCGCCGGCACTTCCTCTACCTTTCTTAATAAGGGGGAAGCGTCCGTACGCAACCGACTTTTTCCATTTCTGTCCAATCGCTGACCCGATAAAAAAAAAATTGACGAATGAAAAGAAACCGATGGATAACTGCTTTCGAGTTGGTACCCTAACGCGTGTGTTATTGGGACGATTTGGAAACGTTGGCTGTGCGGTTGCACCAATTTGCGGAGCTACCGCACAGCAAAGTGTCTTTATATCCCGCGATGTACTGTTTATCGTGACTTTGGAGAACATTACAAGTGTAGTGGAGTAGGAAGGTGCCGTAGTGCGTACAGCGTGATTGCGTAGTAACAAAGACAGTACGGCTTATGTTGGGTCAGCCTGTTGTGAAGGCAAAGTCACTACGGGTTATGTTGGGTCAGCCTGTAGTGAAGGCAAATGCAGTACAGGTTATGTGAGGGCAATTAAGCTGGGGAAGCCAAGGACGGCTGTGATTGGTTTGTGTTGTTGCCAAGGCTGGAGGGGCGTCTTGAAGTCTGGCGAGGTAACAGGTGTACGGTCACGCCGAGAGCCGTTGGGACGCGGGTTAATTAATTGGCGGTGTAATGAGAGCGGGCAGAAGAGCGGGAGTCGGAGTCAGCAGCGGGAAGTTGGAGTTGGGAGCTGGAGGAGGCAAGACGTGGAGTTGAGAGGAGAGTTGGGAGACAGAGTTGGAGACGGAGTTTGGAAACAGAGTGTGGAGCAGAGCTGAAGAAGAGAAGCAGCCAGCAGTGGAGAGAGCGTAGCGTCGGTGATAGCGGAGAGCAGAGACGTAGTAGTTAGCAGTGGAGAGAGCATAGCGTCGGTGAAAGCGGAGAGCGGAGACGAAGTAGCTAGCGGTGGAGTAAGCGCAGTAATAGTGGGGAGTGGAGAGACAAAGGTGGCGAGCGAGTCGAGTGAAGCACGGCGAGCGAGCCGTGGCGACAGGGATACTGTGGGATATTGAGGACATGCGGAGAGTTGTAAATAAAGCGGTGTTCGAAGAAAGACAAAAGTTGTCCGAGTGAAATCGAACACTACAGAAGTAAAAAATAACATTTGCAAACATTAACGCACAGCTTGGGAAAACTTTCAAAGCAAACGGTGATAAATAGCCTCTAATTATTTGCCTCGAGGATTTCATGAAATATCATCAATTGTGGGTGGTAAATGTATTCAAGAATATCGAGGGGTTTTTTTCCCCATCCGTAGTTTGTGATGAGCAGCATCAGGTGGCAGACGGGGCTGAACACGAGCCCATTACATACACGAGGTGGCACATCGAGAATAATGATTCCTTATGCGCACAAATCAGACGCATGCTTAGCGAGAATAAGAATCGATTTTTTTTTGCAAATGGGCGAATCCACGCAATGTTACACCCCCATTATAAAAGAGTTTGCTCGCAGACCAGTCGGCCGGACGACCAACGAGCACGTATCTCTGAGATTGTACATGAAGGCACTTCTATCCTTCGTACACACAGCAAAACCATAAACTGATAACATTAATGCATACATACAGCACTGCTGTTTGCAATGATACATATACATGTTGTCCATAAAGTCATCGTGGTTTAAATATATATAAAATTAGACAGCTGTTTGAGTGTTTCTCAATATACAAAGACAAAACAAAGATCCCCACCATATCGCCTTTAACAGACTGTTGGGGCAAGTGCTGTTAGCGAGCACCTGTGAAGGCCGGCACGGCACGTGACAGGGCTGAGTGGCCAGCACCACGCCCGGCCGCCTTTGTCTCCCTAATGGCGATGTTTACACATTGCACCAGGTACTAATTCGAGGCTCAGTCGACCTAGGGGAGGCCCAGAACCCGTTCAGATAATCGTCACTGACCGTGAGCGGGATTCGGGCTCGCGTCGCCGGGTTCGTAGCGCAGTGAGCTAACCACTGCGCCACCGTTCTCAATTAAACCACACACGAACACTTGGTCGTGTGAAGACTTTCGGAAATTAGTTTCTTTTAAACCCTCGCGTGCCCGCCATGGCGTCTGCAACGCACATCGCATCGAGATTTTGACACTCCCAGGTGCGCGCCATCTCGGCTCGTGATTGTTTCGAATTTCTTCTGTTATGTGCTGTCGACGATAAATCTCAGTTCTTTTTTTAGCAAACACATTGCTGTCCTTCCGATTAGCACGGTCGGTGACGTACGGTGCAAAAGAAGTTCAACATACGTACATGCACCCTAACGTTCAACCGGGCAGTTCGAACCGTTGTCTCACGATTATTCTGTAATATCGCCTCCACGAACGCGGTTCCCATTACGACGGGGAGAGTCGCAAACAAAACCACTGCCCGCCCCGCGAGGCTCCTTTCGCTCCGCGAGGACGCTTCCTAAGAATCGCTGCCATCGCCGCCACGTCCCGGGCGAGCGGTGCACCGCGCGCCGGCGAGAGCGGTGACGCCGTTTCCCCTGCGGCCGTACCTATTGGACGGCCCGGGGGACTTCCTCCCCTGGACGGGCGAAGTTGGCCTCTGCGGGCCAGCGCCGGCGCCGCGGCCTGACAGCTGCTGGAGCCGCAGGCTCAGCTCGCTGATGATGCTCGCCTTGGTGTGCGACGCGACGTGCGCGTCGTCCCACGACTCGCTCTCCCCGTCCACGTCCGCGTCGATGTCCATCTCCGTCTCGTTCTCCGCCGCCACTTTCGTCTCTCCTGACGGTGGCGGAGGCAGGGCGGCCAACAACCGCTGCCGCTGCTGCTGCTGTTGCTGTTGCTGCTGCTGCTGCTGCTGTTGCTGCTGCTGCTGTTGTTGTTGCTGCTGCTGCTGTTGTTGTTGCTGCTGCTTATGCTGTTGCTGCATGTGCTGTTGCTGCTGCTCTGTCCAGTGCCAGGCCAGTCCCGCACACAGCTGCTGCTGCTGAAACCTGGACATGTTGTTGTGCGAGGCGAGGGCGGCGGAGACCGTGAGCGGCGCCGGAGCCGAGGGCCGCACCAGCAGCGAGCTCTCCGAGTTGCGCTTGACGAGCAGGTCGCGGTAGAGGCCCGAGAACGGCGCCGACCGGTGTTTGGGCTTGGGCGGCACGGGCGGCAGCGGCAGCGTGAGGGGCCGGTCGGGCGCGGAAAAGTGCTGCCCGTCGGCGTACAGTGTGCACGTGTCCAGCGTCTCGCCGCCCTCGGACGACAGCGTGGAGATGCTGGAGACCGTCGAGACGGTGCTCGTAGTCTCCAGGTGGTGGTCGCTGCAGCTGCCCCGCTCCATCTCCTCCATGCCCGAGTCCGTGCTCGTGTCGAGCGCGTCGTGGGGAGGGCTGGGCCCGAACCGCGACATCCCGCCGGTGCCGCCGCCGCCCACGCTGAGCATCACGTCGGTGATCGACGTGACGGTGAACGAAGTCACTTCACTGGGGCACGCGCTTCTTGCCACGCAGTTGCCCTGGGCCGTTTTTCCCCCTCCCCGGGCCTTCACGGCGGCAGCTGTGATTTCGCGACCGCCCAGTTCGTCTGGGTCATCCACGGACATCTCGTTCATGAACTCGATGGGTGGCGGCAGGGGGTCAGTGAACACAAAGTCTTCCTCCACATCGCTGTTTTGCCTCACGAGCGGCGCGGGGATCACGATGGTCTCCTCCGTGTACTCGAGACTCAGCTGCGCGCACGGCATGCCGGGCGGCCGCGGGATCGAGGACGGAGGCTGTAGGACGCGCTGCGTGCCCCCTCCTGGGTCCAACACCTCTATCTCCGTCAGTGGCCCCGACAGCGTGAAGCTCTCAGAGAACCGGCGGATTTTATCGCTCACGCTGCCCCCTTCGAGTTTCTTCTTCCCTTTCTCGGCGGGCCCTTTGGAGTTGTGGACCATGAGCAGGCCGGCGGCACCCGACCTGCCCCCGCCGTCCTCCATGACGCTCATCACGACGGTTTTCCTCTCCGCCACGCGCTTCTCCGCGGGCTCAGACCTCGCGTCCGCCTCCCGGTTACCTCCAGGTGGGAGCTTGGAGAAGACCGGCGCTCCCGGCTCGTTGGACGCCTTGCACGTTTTGGCCGCGAAGCTGTCCAAGCACGACTTTAGGTCGCTCGCAAAGCTCTCGGGGAAGGCCGCGCCGCCTGTCCGCGCGACGTCCCTGCTGTGCGTGTCGATGTACAGTGGCTGCATGGAGCTGCCGGCGCTCGCGTTGTTGTTGTTGTTGTTGCCGGCGGCGGCGGCGCACTCGTCCAGCTCCACCGACGTCTCGCCGCAGCCCTTGAGGGCCCTGTGCCTGGCAGCCAGGGCGAGGGCCAGCGGGGACGCGGGGTCCACGAAGGCCATCGCCCCCCCCCTCGGGGATTGGCCCGTCCCGCTGCCGGCATTCGAGGGGCTTATCTCCGGCTCGTCCGGCGGGGGCAGGTTCTCGTCGACCGACTTGGAGTGCTGCAGCCGAAGTCGTGCGGGCACCGAGCGGTGGTTGCCTCGGTCCTGGTCCCGACTTTTGTCCCCGTTCCCGTTGCTCCCGTCCACGGACAGGAAGTTGGCCGATCGGCGCCGCTCGCGAAGCTGCCGCTCCCGCACGGCGTCGACGAGGGCGGCCTGCAGGGGGCTCACGGCCGAGCCCTCGGGGCTGAGCGTCTCGGAGCCACCGCCGTCGCTGCCTCCGCCGCCGGCGACGCTGAAGCCTCCGGCGCCGCCGCAGGTGCCAAAGTGCGACTCGAACTCGACGCTGCTGCCCTGACTGCTCTTGCCGCTGCTGCTGGTGGAGGGCTCCTTGATGATGATGGTGGGCACGACGGCGATGGGGTTGGGCGCGAGGCACGGGGCGCCGGGCGTCGTGGGCGTCTGCGGCGGGGGCGGCGACGACGGCCGCTTCTCGGGGCTGCCCTCCACGTGGCACTGCTTGACGAGCGTCGCCTTGCGGCGCAGCGGCTTGGGCGAGTAGAGCGGCGCCCCGCCGCCCTGCCCGACGGTGGCATAGGGGTTGACGGGCTTGGCGCCGCCGCGCCTGCCGCTGCCGTACTTGTTCAGCGTGGCCGAGGCGGGCGGCAGCCCGGACGCGCCGCCCGCCTCGGCGGTGTCCTCGGCCGAGCCGGCGGGCGGCGGGCCCGCCGGCTCGGGGTCGAAGCCGGAGCGCGCGGGCGGCGGGGGAGGAGGCGTGAAGTTGGGCGGGGGGGCCTGGTCGACGTCGAACGCGGGGCCCGGGGGGGGCGGGGGCGGCGCGTCGGGGGGCGGCGGGGGGATCCCCCCGAAAGCGTCGCCGGCGTCGGGCACGGAGGCGCTGCGCGTGAACTTGAGGGGCGGCGCCAGTAGCCACTCCTCGTCTGTGCTCACTCCTGCGCGGAGGGGCGCCAGACGCACGCTCCGTTAATTCGCTCGGAGAGCCACCGCGCTTCCCCAGTAACGCCGGGGGGGGGGGGGGGGGGGGGGGGTGGGGTGTGCCCGAAAAAGGTATCGACAGTTATTTGAGAATTTACCGAGGGACGGCGTTTTTGAACCGCGCGGTTGAACTTTTCGGCGACATTTTTCCTCACAGGCGTACTGTACCCTTCATTTTTTTTACCACAAAAAGTTCGAGTAAACTTCGACAGCGCACGACAGAAGCATTTTAAACCATCACACCTGAGAACGCCTCTCAAATCTCGACGCGATGGGTTTGTCTGGCAATGCCATGGTGAACCCGTGGAGCTTTAGAGGAATGAGACTCTTGCCATAACATAGTCGCATTACCGTGTGCGTTAGTTTATTATTTACTGATCAGAGTACCGTCTGATTATAATTCTTTAATAATGGACGATACCTTTACGGACAGTCTGCAAAAGTGTATTCATTCCGACACTTTCACCGCTACAACAGGCCGAGTGTTTGCAGAGGGATGCATTTGAAACGAGCACCGCAGTGTTTCAGGGCACTATCCGTGAAACGCTCTCGGGCTTCGATCGAGGGCAGCGTCAGCGCCTGTGTGTGTGTGTGTGGCGGGGGTAAGTACCAACAATTCACCCTGAACACGCCACACTTTGTCCGATTTTGAAAAGCTAAAAGCAGGGTTGAGCCTAGTTAAGCACTGGGACAGGAGACTACCCATGAATGCCGGGCAATGCAAGGCTTTGGCCACAAGGTGGTAAAGAGAGTTCGGCAACGGATTCTTGAATCTGTGCGTGCAGAGCTCCGAGTGTTAATGGCCCATTAGGCACCACCAAGTTTCCTCCAGTTTCTTTTAAAATCCCAAAACGCCTGTTGACGGAAATGGGCAAATCATTCCATATGTAAGCAGGGCCATCCTGAAAACGAGTCTTGAGTGTCAGGCTTTCCTGGGTAAGGCCCTTATGATTGTTTTGTGACCGTAAAAGCTCATTACAATGTTCCCAATTTGTTGTTTTCCGGTATATACAATATCCTATTACTCGACACGTATGGTCATGTTTTCAATCCACAGCTGGATGAGGATGAGGGTCTCTCCTCGCCGTGTTGGTCGCGGGGGTTATTTCAGCATACTTCACCAAGCTGGTCAGTGCGGGTCAGTGAAGGCAGAAAGCGTAGACGCTTGAGCATAGAGGAGCATAGAGGAGAGCAAAGGCTTTTTCTGCACTGCCCCCCGACCGTCCACCACGTAGTCTCACAGCAGACTGTATAACAACCCCCATCACTGGCGCAATTCAGGCTTAACCCTGCGAATCCCTCGAGATCTGATAAGAGCAAGTGCATTCTGGGTGATTTGGTCATGGTTTGGTCATCCAACCACTAACCAGGCTCAACCCTGATGGGACCGGGCGCACTACAGGTTAACTGGTCACAGGTAACAACATTTTAAAAGCACCAAAAAATCCTTCTTGACACTATTATACCATGTTAACCGTTTTAACATTTTTCCTGCATCTAACATTCGGTCCTAGATCCCTAAAAAAAAAAAAACCTTAATATTGACGTTTCCCTGCGTTACAACGATTGGCGGCATGTGGGCGCTGGGGTTCGCCAAACCAACCGGTCGACTTCTGCCTGGAGAGGGCCTTGCAGAGTCGTGGGGCGGCGCTCATGACGGGCTTCTCGTCCGCGGCGGCTCGGGCGCCCTGCCTCTCAATCAGCTCCTGAAATGAGACGTCCGAGCCATTACGATCCCGACCCAAATTAGAAAATCGGTTACAACGAATGTGGACGTACCACGTGTAACATAATTAAATAAATATTTCGGGAGAAAAATCTATATTTTAATTTCATGCTTGGCTTGTTCAAAAGTTATTTTTTTATATTTCCCTTTTTCCTCTTCTCACAATGCAGAGCCTGAAACTGTTTCTCTTGTTTCATTGTAATTTATCAATACCCGGTTACTCTAGAACCACGGAGAGTCCATCGTGCGCTGGCTGGGGCACTCGTCATCTGGACCCCAGGTCACAGGCTTGTTTACTCAAACCCCAGCGGGGTTCACCAACGATGCAGAGTGGGGATTATCGGCTATCGCAATGCCTTTTGCAATTTTCCTTGAGAATATATTTTTTCTGCATCAAAACAATATTATGAACATAATCACGGTTGGCGGTATTCCATCCACGATACGGTGTTAAACTGCATCTGCTGATGGAGCCATCTTAAAAAACCACGCTGTTGAGGCAGCCAAAGGAAAACCATCTCCAACGTTCTTCCCCAGTTTCGGCTCAAGAATCAGAGAGGAATGTGGAAAAATGAAGAGGATGAATGAGATTGGATAGGATGGAGAGGGTGTGAGCCATGGACTTGCCCTTTGTACAGACAAATTCAGAATCATATTTTTCAGGAATATTTACAGTTTTGTTCTGTTTGTGTTGGAGATCAGTGTGCCAGGAGAAACCCCATGCATATGAGAAGAAAACTCTGATCTTGCACACACATCACGTTCTGTGCTCTTACGCTATATAAACACAAAAGGCAAAGACTATTTGGCGTTATGACTTTTTAAAAGGTGGCCAAAACCACACCTGGCTGCCCATGTTAGCACACAGCACCAGACATTTATTTAGGGCCGAGTTGGCCTTGGAAAGGTACAGGACAAATACAAACGCCACCTGCCACTGTTCTTATCTGTGGCTGGAAATGGAACCAAGGTAATCAATGGCATCACAGCATAACCACGCCATGCACACAATATGCCTACAATGTCATGGTGGCGAGATGTTAACTACCTCACCTGGTATACAGGAGGTCGTGGGTTTGATCCCGACCCTGACGCCTGTACATTTGGAGTTTGCACGTTCTCCCCATGATCGCGTGGATTTTTCTCCGGGTCGTCCGGCTTTTTCCTCCACATTTAGAACCATGCATTTAGAGTATTTGGCTGCTATGTATTTCCACACCATACACCGTTTTGTTGAGTGATCATGTTGTGGCCAGGTCGCTCATGAAAATGAGCTACATAGCTCAGTGGGCTATGTAGTGTACACAGTCACGACCGTCTACGTTCTGTCCACTTGTAGACGAGGACCTCTCGAAGCCTGTGCCATCGCTCATGGTCTCGCAATCCAACGATCTAGCGAGCCTCTGCACACGGGCCGATTGCATCGCTCCGCGTGTGTTGCGGGCTTCCTCTCGGGTGTGTTCCATCCTTTGGCTGCCACTCTGTCTATATGTCTCTTGTGGCCCACGCCATCATTCAACTATACTATTGAGAACGGTGCTCTGAAATGTAGCAGGCACTCGAGGTGCTACATTCACCGCAACATCAACAAAAACAAATGATATACTTGAATTTAATGGCAAACCTGAATCGGGACGCGCCATTCATCTCTCTCATGAAGCCCTCGGCTCCTTCTTAAAAGGATAATGGAAGACAACACCAAGCTATGGACCTTACGGTAAACCAACGTAGTCTGTAGTCTGTGCCCCTTCACCGGAGGGAGAGCAAAACTACACAAACGCTCTCCTGAATCTCGCTGTGGTTGGCAGACCTCGACATTGGTCACTTTTAGGTCCCGAACATTGCCATCATACGCAACAATGCAACTGTGAGGAGACAAATCATCACACGTGTAATGCCGATTACAACAGAGAGTAACTTCGTGAACATGCCCAAGAGGACCCTGACTGCGGAGATGGAGCGATTCGATTATTTTACGTAGTGGAGCTAGATGCATTGTTGTATGAATATATGCTGAACTTCTTTCGCACCGTACGTAGACAAATGGAGATAGCTTGGGGAGGCCTTCTTCCGGCAATGGATGAGATCATGGCTGATGATGACGTTGGTTAGATTGATGAATAGCTGTCAAGAGCCCATGCGAATGGTCCGACCTGGCCACAGGCACTGTGTTCTCTGGGTGCCAGTGTACGCGACCTGCTTTGCTCTTCCAGGAGCACGAAGAGGGTTACCACATTCCAAGCGTGCGTCACGTCAAACCTCGCGCGCGTGCGTGCGTGCGTGCGGGGGACGCGGGTCACTCACGCAGATCTCGCCGGGCGTGAGCCGCCGGCTCGTGGGCCTCTGCCGGACTGTGGCCGCACGCGAGTCCGCCGCCGCGTTGTCGTAGGCCGCGGCGTGGGGGGCGACGGTGGCGGCGGCGGCCAAGAGCGCGTCCAGCTTCTCTGCACGGGGAGGCAAAAGCGAGCGCCGGAATCGCAAAACCCTCTCGCGCCACGGCCGCTGCGTGGGCCAGAGATCGCTCACACTTGGAGTGATCGCAGAAGTAGTTTTGCGTTATCGGCTTCCGTGGGCTGTGATCGTCCACGGAGGGTCGCGAGTGTTCCGCGTGGGTTCTTCGTCTCGTGTGGGGACGAGACGCTGACATCGCAATTGGAATCCAGAGCTGTCCTTCAAAACGTTGGGTTAATTCGGGGGCGGGTGGGTGCCCTTTAACAAAACTACGTTATATCCATGAAGGCAAAATTTAGACCGTTTGTAATATTATTCCTAGTTATTTTTACGTTATGGACGCAAGAAAAAACACACACACACACACACTGCTGAAACGGCCAAACGAATCACAACAAACCAATTCAGAAGGACAACTCAGCCCTACAGTAGTTTGCTGTACAGGACAGAACTAAACTGGGACTGCAATGGCTCGTGATGTTTCTAGGCAACGTGGAGATGCAACAAACAGCACGGCAGCGTTGCTTTGTACGCTGTTCAATTTTCAGCTTGGTGAGTGTGAGAATCATGTTAATGGCCACAAATAAAATATATACCGTGTAAATATCAATATATCTATCCGGAACATAACATGTCCACCCTAGTACTCTTCGAGGCACTCGGTACAATTGGCAAACAAATTAATATATATACACACACATATGCATAACATTTAATTAAAACTAAACATTTTTAATCTGCATTTGCATGCAGCAGGAGGAAAGGGATTCATTTTGGGCGACTTTGGGTTACATGTTTTTTTTTACCAAACCCCATAGTTTGGAGGAGAGCGTTAAGAGTGCAGCGGTCAGGACACCGCTATTAACCCAACAACCAATTCGAATCTTGTCCATGGAAAACATCGGTGGTGAGTTATATCCAGACGAGTTCCGAGCTCCCCCATGCACCAAACTACACTGACCAAATGTGATGAACAGTGGCTCTTCGTGGCACCAGGCTGAATAATCCACAAAGTCTGCCTCGGGTTGTCGTGCCTCAGCTGACAACATGTGCAGGTGGATTAATTGGACACCTAGAATGCGTTGGGCAATGGATTCTCACGTAGGGACCCATAGACTCACAGGAAGACCCATATATCACAAGAGACCCATAGACTGGCACAGACAGCCACAGACACGCATCGTGAGCCACCGAGAAGCTGAAATGCACTGCTGACAGTGGCTTCATCATCGTCGTCGTAATCTGCGCTTTCTCCACCAGATGAAGCTTCCCAGAGGGAACTGCTTTAGTGGCAGCCCGGCACGTGCGTGCCATCATCTCCACCGCACATTGCCCTCGCGTTACAATTCTCAACGAGTCCACCTGCCCACGCGTCATCAGCTGAGACTGAATAACTTGAAGCGGATTTTGTTGCTTCCTCAACCTGGAACTACGAACTGCCACTGGTGGTGAAGTATGGTCAAATTACCCCCATGACTGACATAGCATGGGGAGGACTTCATGCAAGAGTTGCTTGACGAAGGGAATTATATTGTAATTGTTATTGTTTTAAACCCGATTGCTTAAATTATAGATGCAAACATACCCCCTCTCCCCTTGCAATCCCCTGCCCACAAGATATGCCACATTGTAGAATCTAACCGCGCAGGAGAAACCGATCCAGATGCAATGCACGATACAAGTTACGTGCAAAATGATTTTTTTCAAAAGCTGTCGGTGCGTTTTTTTCTCCTTCCACTTGTCTTTTTAGTTATGGAGGCTGCGATAAGAGCTAACATATATATTCATCTTAGTCTTAGTTCAGAGAAAATTAATTGGATACAGAATGCACGGACGCAGCATTAATAACCAAAGTGTCTTTTGAAGCACAACATGAAAGGCACATTTAAATAGGCAACGTCAAGACAATGCATGTCGGGTCACTGGCAGCTGCTTAACGGCTTAAGCGTTAAAATACTCGCGCTTCATTATTGAGGACTGAAGGGCACATTTACGCGTGGTCACCTGACCACATGAGAGGTTCCAACGGGGAGGCGCCTTCCATCAAAGCTTCCATCAATTACGCATCACACACGCGGGGCAGCAGGACACAGCGGGACGCACCGGGCCCCACTTGACCCTCACCTCCCTTAATTACAGGCCCGTCAGTCAAGCGCACGCTCTCTCTCGCGGGGGAGGTCGCTCCCTTCTCTGATGCTGTGCCCACCGCGTTTGGGTTTTTTTCTTTATCTGGCCCCGGTTGTCCCTGCTGAGACCCTTCCCATCCGTTTGAGGTGCAGACTCGAGATTATTCTCTTCTGCCCTACGACTGTCTGCCACCCAGCGAAGTGCCTTCATTTTCTCTCCTATGATGATGACAGTAATAATGTTTACTCTTTGGTTCTTTCGGTAAAGTCACGTAGGTAGAAAAAACTAAATGATAAATCGCGACGTTTCGATCGCAACACAAGCAATCGTCATCAGGCAGAAAGACACAGCAACAGAACTGCTGAACAAGAAAGGGCTGCTGCAACAAGAGGTTATATAGACAGGTTTGAGGTGGGCGTCACCCAAGGGCAAGTAGGCGGGGTCAGAGATGCAAAGGAGCCCCGTCGCCGTGCGCACGCACAGCAGCCGCGCCAAAGGAGGATTGGCATGCTGATGCAAACGAGCACAGTGGGAAATGAGCCCCGTAGTCGCACACCAGCACCGCCGTCAAGCACGTGCAGCAGCCACGTCATCAGCATGCCAATCCTCCTATGGCGCGGCTGCTGTGCGTGCGCACGGCGATGAGGCTCCTTTGCATCTCTGACTCCGCCTACTTACCCTTGGGTGACGCCCACCTCAAACCTGTCTATATAACCTCTTGTTACAGCAGCCCTTTCTTGTTCAGCAGTTCTGTTGCTGTGTCTTTCTGCCTGATGACGATTGCTTGTGTTGCGATCGAAACGTCGCGATTTATTATTTAGTTTTTCTACCTACGTGACTTTACCGAAAGAACCAAAGAGTATGGATTCCTGCAGTCACGAAAACTTCAAATCAATATATAATAATGCTTTGATTTCCTTCCTTGGTCTGTAGAATTATCTCAATCATTCCCTGCACGAATACAAATTAAAAAAAAAAACCTCGTCTTAACTCTTTAGATAAGTATGTTTACCCATATTGAGACGTGGCTAAATCTCGAGGGTATACAAACTTTTTTTTTTACCCTCAAACCTAAGACTCTTTTCTAACAGCCCTTTCTCAATCCACTGCTGGATGAAAGCCCTCTCCCACACTCATCAGGACCGTTTGACCATACTTAACCATGCTGGACAACGTGGATTGGTGATGAATATTGGGGGGGGGGGGGGGGGGGAAGCAACAAATCCCTGGGTTACATCTCAGTCTTCTCGACGGATCCAAGACTGGCTCAAATGTCACTTCCCCCCACTGATGTTAGCCATGTCCGGGAATCAAACTCAAGTCGCCGGGTTTATAGTAGTGCGATGACTGCCATGCGCCACCGCTCCCCCGTCTTACAACATCTAGCCACCCATGCACGATGCGCAACTGGCGCAGAACTATCGACAGACGTACCTGTTCAACAAATGCACACACTTAAGATCTGATCCACGTGTTGGAAAACGATGTATTTTGTCCAGGGATTTAACAAAAAAAATTGCCAAGATGTTTCCAATGCACCTTTATTGCCAAAAATGGGTCCGATCGCCGGGGGTGGTAAGTTTCCAACAAGGCGTGAATCTGGCCCATGCGCGTACGGTACACGCGACCCGAGTTGGAGTCGCGACGCTTCGCGGTCGGAGGTTGCTGGCTCGGCTGCATGGAAGAGACGAAGGCAGTTCGGTGGACTCATTGGGACTTTTCGTGCGGAGCAAAATAGCAGTCGCTAAGAATGCGCCCGTGCATTCAACCAGTCGCACGCGACCAACAACAGCCCACCATTTCTCCGCCCATGACGGCTCCACCCTCACCCACAATAGCGTCAAAGTGCCCGCAATGTGTTAAGCGGCCCTGGCATTTTACCGTTTCCTAGCCCAAGTTTCGGTACGCGTGAGGCAGGTGCCCGCTGCGTTTAACAGCGGTGGGGCTAAACAAGTGCCACTGCTGTGGCATTCGTGGTGTAGAGAAGAGCAGATATTGGTTTTGTTGAATGTGTGGACCCACAGAATTGTTTGGCAGATCTCGCACCTCCGATTAGCACGGGTGGCTACATACGGGTGCGAATGCAGTTCGAGACGCACGTACGTACTAAATGACTGGAGGCGTGGCATCACCGCGGAACTTGCGCCAGGCTAGGTGTACATTGAGGCCACCGTGAAGCGTCGAAAGTTTACTGGTGGGGTCACGGGACAGACTGAGGTGTTTGGGGTTAACTGAATCAGATGACTGGCAGATGCGCCTCCCATACAGGGCCACCGTGCCGTTTCACACATGCACACGCGCGACACCTAAAACAAACGATGTTTAAAAAGCGAGCTAGTGAAACGTGTGCTGGAAGTCAAGGATTTAAACCATAAAATGTGTGCGGTCTTATTCACAGAATGGAAAGTCTACTAGTTAATAAAATATCGTGATTAAAATTACATATTATATTACTTCAACTCTTGCATGGCTTACAGCTTAGCTCAATCCATTTCTACAGGCCTTAATGATTTAATTAAATTCCACTGAATATGCGCTGAGGCCCTCTGAGGAGCCGGTTGTGAAATTTGTTATTTTCTCTGGACATTGAGGCCTAGTTTTCGAAAAATATAAGACCCGGATAGGATAGGAGGGAGGCTGCTGTTTGCGGCAGGATTCTCTGCGGGCATTTTTAACGGCTTCTGTGTCACAGCGGTTCTTCGGAGCCAGCGTTTCGTGCACCCGGCAAGACCCCACACTGCCAACACTGCCCACCCTCCCTCCCTCTCTCCCGCCCACAAAATTCCGCATTCCTGCCGTACGTCGCTCCCTCAATATCACTTCCCCAGCATCGAATGCCGCAATTTCTCCCCCCCCCCCAACATCA